AAAAGAGACAGACAGCCAACATCCAAACAACCAAAAGAGACAGACAGCCAACATCCAAACAACCAAAAGAGACAGACAGCCAACATCCAAACAACCAAAAGAGACAGACAGACAACAACCAAACAACCAAAAGAGACAGACATCAACCAAAAGAGACAGACAGACAGACATGGTCACTCACTGTTGTCAGTAAAGTCACAGCAGAAACTTATATTGAGTTGGGTTATTATTAAGAGACAGACAGCCACCAAAAGAGACAGACAGACAGACAGACAGACGTGGTCACTCACTGTTGTTGGTAAAGTCACAGTAGACACTGTAGGGGGCAGAGACGTTGTCGTCCTGGACCACGTAGTAGTCGTCAACGTCGATGCCGTAGTAGTACAGCTCATTACACGACTTGGTGGTGCTGATGGTCGCGTCTGGGGACAGACAGACAGACAGACAGACAAACAAACAATCAAGCAATCAAACAAGCAAACAAAAAAGCAAACAAACAAATAAATAAATAAACACCTAAATACATAAATAAATAAATAGATTATTTACTAAATAAATAAGTAAGTAAATAACTCAACATCGTGTTGTAGTAAAATGCAAGGCTTCATGGTGAAATACAAACAAACTAACTTAACTAACAAACAAATAAAGAAACAAAATAAATAGAGTGTTCATCAAATAACTCATTATCCTGTTACTATAAAATACAAGGCATCACGCATGGTGAAGTCAAAACAATGAATCAAAGAAACAGACTTTTTTCAGCAGTTTAGGTATTTTCTTATCAAACTTTTCTTTTTAATTGTTTTATTTGTTTTTTTGTTTTTTCCTCAACACCTTTTATGACAATTTAGGTAGGTGCACATTTGTGGATTTTTTTTTCTGAAAAATTAACAGAAATTATTGATGAGGCCTAATGCCAAGTCAGACAGATTTGATCTACACTGCAGCAGTGTGTCAGTAGCCACTGAGCCTACCTTAGACTTACAAAGTTTTACTAGACATTCTTGCTCGTTTTGAGTTACTAAGACCACGATGTTCGAAACTAAATGTTCTATCTGCTCCAACAAAATCGTAAGATTATTCGGAGTTCTTATCAAAATGTTCAAAGAATTGTATTAATTAGAAAAACGCTTCACGTGTTGCGTTACTCAAAGTTTTTTAACGTCAAATTTCTCAAAACTAGGTACTGAGCAGATAGAACTTGGTCATTCAAGTGTAGCTCCTCCTCCTTGTACTGACAGACATACAAACAAACAATCCAATAATCAAACAAATAATTAATAAGCAAACAAGCAAATAAATAAATACATAAATACATTATACATAAATACATAAATACATAAATACATAAATACATAAATAGAAAGTTAGTTGAATTTTTTTTTTTTCCTCCTAATTACACAACTTACTAATAGCGTAGACAGAGTAAATGAACTCATTTGAAGTTGGACCGTTGGGTGGGTTAGTGTCACGGTAATTCGTTGCACTGCCACAGTCCTGGGGAAAGGGAGAAATGAGAAAGTACGTACATGACATCCTCTCAAAGGAACTTGAGAGTTGTGAGTGGTGAAACGCCAGCGCCCTGTGTGTCTGTGAGTGTGAGTGTGAGTGTGTGTGTGTGTGTGTGTGTGTATGTGTGTGTGTGTGTGTGTCTGTGTCTGTGTGGGTGTATGTGTGGGCAGGTGTTTGTGTGTGTAAGTAAGTTGGGGAGGGGGGGGGGGGGA